TTGGTAGAAAAAAATCTTACACTCAGTTATAGTGTTAGGTAACAATAGTTTATCTTCAGATGAATACTTTTTTGTAATGTAGAACCTGGAGTTTGAATGCTGATGTCAGTAACATGGTTTCTATCGTTGGCTTCATTTACTTTTTAAAGACCCAATTTCTCAAGCTAAGTGGCATCGTTTTTTTCCTGTTAGTCTTCTGCATTCTAACGTGCTAAGATTCTTTTTTTTTCTGCTTTCTGCTCTGTATCTTATCCCAGGCAGTAAGTGGAATCAAATGATTCCCGTGTATTTTATGCTACTTGGCTGCATAGGCTTTCTGCCCTAAAATTATGTGTTTAGAGAGAGAGAGAGAGAGAGAGAGAGAGAGAGAGACAGAGACAGAGACAGAGACAGAGACAGAGACAGAGACAGACAGACAGACAGAAGACTGGTGCAAAAGCTGAGAAAAGCTTCATGTAAAATTATTATAAATTAGTTATAATATCAGATATAATCTAGAATTTTAAATTTTAATGGACAATCTTTTGGAGTCAACTGAGCAGAAGCACACAAACAAATGAGATATTATATTGGTAAGGTCTACCATAATTCTAGGGGTGCCAACATAGTCTACCCAGTATTTCCTACTCTGAGGTGGTTCTTTCTGATAAGTCTCTGATGATGTTAATACTACATAGAGTAAAGCATCTATGGTTGAGGTCATTTATGCTGCCAACATTCTACTTTTTAAATACATGTGACAGTGACAATGAGTTCAGAATCCCCAAAGAGAAGGCACATTTTTCATAGTTTAATTTGCCATGTCATAAAACCTTTCTACTCCTGACCTTCCTCTAAATACGGCCTCACTTAATCCTGAAGATTCCTTAAAGATATCTTTACTTGGTGACCAGCCACCACCCACAGATTAATGTAATAAGATGACATTTTTGTCAGTTGGCCTAATTCTTCTGAATATCTAAGTCTTAAATTTGATTGGTTTAAATTTAATTCTACCTGTATGTTAAGTCCACGGCTTCGGGAGGGTGTCTGACACTTCCTGATTACCCAGACTACACAGAATCTTTACTTTAATTTTTTTTTACATAGTCTATTCTATTGCTGTTCACTTCTTTTTTTTTTTTTGGCGGAAGTGGGGATTGAACTCAGGCCCTTGCGCTTACCAGGGAAGTGCTTATTCCACCGAGCCATCTCCCCAGCCCCATGCTGTTCACTTCTTAAAAGTAGCCAGGAGGAGGGCTTTGAAAGCAGCATGTCTGTGTCCTACTATTAGTTTTCTAAGTAGTTCTATGGGTGGCTGACATTTTATTCACCACCATGCTGTCTTCAGCTCAGTTTCTGGTATTGTGTTTTCCCAGCTGCACCTGGCTAAGTGCTTCATTGAAGAACTAACTGACCCCTAGCACTATGCTATCAACAAAGTAGGCTCCCAAGAAAGTCTGGCAAACAAATTCCCATTTTAATATGTTGTAGATCTATGCATACTTCTCTTTGCTCCAACATGGAGGCCTTTGTGTAGACTACAAATAACTATTTGATTTGTATAATCAGCTCCTAGCAATTGCCTTCAATTTGTCTACATGCTATTGGCAGAGGCGATGATAAGGCATGTTGATTTCAGAATATCCCATTCCTTCTCACAACTGTCAGACTGTCACCCAGTGAACAAAACAGTCTTTAGGGCAACAGACTCTTGCCTTCTTGACTCTACTTCTCCTCCTCTCAGCAATTTGAATCATAACATGCTTATTATCTAATGCAAAACTTAATTGCTGTAATTGTTATCCTTATCCCTATCTTAACACTTTCTTCCTCTTGTCCTTACTTCTTTTTCATTAAGCTAACTGTATACCTTTCTGTGCTAGTGCTAGTGCTGAAAACAGAGAACAAAGCTAAAGGATTAGAAAAAAGAGGGCGCACATGGTGGAACAGATGTCATGTGTCCATAGTGGAGCCTTGTGGAAAAGCTGCATCAAGTAAGAGGACAAAGGCAAATGCCTTGAACTTTTATTATTGCTTATAAAGTGAGGGAATGTGACATGGGTGCCAGGGGAACAGCCAGATGAGATGACATTGTCCTTAGCTAGTTTTTGTTCTTTTGGGGGGTATGTGTATATATGAATTCTGGTCTATATTGTCCAGGTGTGGTGAAAGGGATGCCATATATTTCAGAGGAATGGTCTCAGAAAGCTCCAGATCATGTGTGAATTTTTCTCAACTGAGTTTAGCTGACCTAAGATTTTTAAGAAAATCAGAGCTAGGATTTTATGGTACCAAAAAGACACAAGTGATTTTGTAGCTGTGTGGTTTAGGGTAGAGGAAGAAGAGGAATAGAGGCAGGATTAAAACTTTCATAAACTGTCAGAAGTTGTTGAATTGAGCTTTTCACAGCTCAGCATATTAATATGTCTTTACTTTTTTTTTAAATTTTTAATTTTTTGTTGCTGTTACAGGGGATTGAATTCTTTTTTTTAATATTTATTTTTACTTATTACATTTATTTATTGTGTGTGTGTGTGTG